TAGCTAGGCCACCATGCTGGTTAGCTAGGTCTCCATGCTGGTTAGCTGGGTCTCCATGCTGGTTAGCTATGTTGCTATGCTGGTTAGCCAGGTCAACATGAGCCTTTGTTTGCCAGTCACAATCCTGGTTTGTTTGACATCATGGGATAATTATTCACTAATCCCTCTTTTCACTGGCAGTGGTATCTTGGTTTGGATATTAAAACTCTATGGTTACTAAAAGACAAATAACTGATTCCACTTCAACAGAAAGACAAATAACTTTGACTGTACTTCCATCCAACAGAAAGTAAAATGATGGTTCCCAGCAGCTGGGGGGAGAGGAAAGGCGAGTGACTGTTTCGTGGGTAAAGTTTCAGCTTTGCAAGATGATAAGTATTCCAAAGATCTGTTGTACAACGATGGGAATATACCTTACTGAACTGGCTGCTGAAAAATGGTTACAATGGTAGATTTCATGTTGTGTGCATTTTATCACCATTTGAAAAAATCTTCTGTGAGATGACCCCAAAAACCTCTTACCCACAATTGCGGTATAAAATGTTTAGGAGGATGGAAACTGAGAGGGCATTTTTAGAAATGTTCTTGAGAGGGAGATGTTCTGTGAGCTCGCTGCTACCCACAGGGGAAGGTGGAAGATGGACTGTTCTCCTTGGAGCTAGTAAGAGAGGCTCCATTAGGGTTACCTGGAGAGCTTAACAGTCGTCCCCGACATCAGACAAACTGAAGCAGGGATGGAGCCCAGATGGGGGAATGGAGAGAATTAACTTTACAGCAAGTTTGAAGCTTTGATTGTGATAAAGAACTGGACACTCTAAATTCTTAATAAAAACTTATTTTGTGGCTAGGTGTGGTGGCTCATGCCTGTAATTTCAGAACTTTGGGAGGCCAAGGCACGTGGATCATGAGGTCAGGAGATGGAGACCATCCTGGCCAACATGGTGAAACCACGTCTTTATTAAAAGTATGAAAAATTAGCCAGGCATGGTGGCGCGTGCCTGCAGTCCCAGCTACTCAGGAGGCTGAGGCTGGACAATCACTTGAATCCAAGAGGCAGAGGTTTCAGTGAGCCGACATGGCGCCACTGTACTCCAGCCTGGGTGACAGAGCAAGACTCTGTCTCAAAAAAGAAAAGAAAAGCTTATTTTGCTATTTAAAGTGACTGGGTGACTTCGTAACACCTGAGAGGGATCAGAAAAGTCAAGGGACCGCCTGTGTTTTTATTGAGAGGCAAGGAAAGAATATATTCAAAGGAACACTGGGAGATAAAAGATATGTGTCTTCTGAGTCCCAGGTGGTCACTGTTCTTATACTAGCAAAGTCTTCTGATTTTCAGACAGAGAAACTAGATCTGTTCGTAAATTACTACTGGTTCATGGCTTCTTTTGGAGTGAGAGAGGCTACGGGATGCTCCCCTGCAGTGCTTTGGGATCCAATGACAGCATTTGGTTTTGATTTGCTTCTTCAAATTGCATCGAAGGTCAACGGGGTTCCCTGAGTAGTAGGAACCTGTCTCGGTAGAGCTATTTAGAAGCCAGCCAGTCTCAGGGCGGCTGCTGTGTCGTCTGGCTGGGTGTTTATTTGCATATCTTAAATACCAAGTGTTGTGTTTGACCCCTGCTATGCACACAATCAACGTAGCTATTTATGTGGCCTCTTCAGAGGCAGGGAGAACAGCAAGTGGAGGAGACCAGGCATGATGTGGGAAGCAGATGAATCCCAGGAGACCACATATCCCCAAAGACATACCAGCTGCAGTGGAAAAGGTGCTTCCGGCTATTCAATCACATCCAGCTTAAGCACTGGTTGCATGGAAGTCAAAGACAGATGTGGGGTTACCTACTTAGAAACTGGCATTTTTGGCTGGGTGTGGTGGCTCATGCCTGTAATTCCAGTACTTTGGGAGGCCGAGGCAGGCGGATCACCTGAAGTCAGGAGTTCAAGACTAGCCTGACCAACATGGGGGAACCCTGTCTCTACCAAAAATAAAAAAAAAAAAAATTAGCCAGGTGTGATGGCACATGCCTATAATCCCAGGTATTCAGGAGGCTGAGGCAGGAGAATTGCTTGAAACCAGGAGGCGGAGGTTGTGGTGAACCAAGATCACACCACTGCACTCCAGCCTGGGCAACAGGAGAGAAACTCCGTCTCAAAAAAAAAAAAAAAAAAAGGAAATTGGCATTTTCTTCTACCACTTTCTTCTGGAAAACCGTTGCTTTTCTTCCTTTCTTTTATTCATTACTCCCCTCTGGCTTTAAAGTGACCTTGCTTTATTTACCTTGTTTAATTTCTCTTTGTTTCTGGTTTTAAGATTCCTTCAACTTCAGGATTCCTGATCATCTGCATCAACCAACTTGTGGAGAAAACTGAGGCCCAGGAAGGTGACTCACAATCGTGTAGAAATGTGAGGTGCCTTGACTGCTGGGCCAGATATCCTGCAAATAATGGCAGGGGGCAGGGGGCAGGCATGCGTCACCCCACGGGTATGTCAGGCCTGGAGAATGACCTCAGGGAAAGCTTGGGGAGATTCTTGGAGCTTGAGTGTACCCCTTCCAGGAGGCGCCTGGGAGGGACGTGTACCCCTTCCAAGGTGTCACCTAGGAGAGATTTAGACCTGCCCCTTTTTAAGGGATAATTACATTCCTCCCTTCCTGTAAGTTTCCATATTAAGTACTCTCATGTGATAGCTGCTCTCTAAGAATTATTCACCTGTACAGGGCAATGCTTTTTTTTTCTGTTCATAGACAGGTCAACCTTCCTCAAAGGTGACAGTCTGACAACAGCATAGGTTCAACAAGGACACAACAAGATGCAGGCTGGTGCCATTGGAAGCTTGGCTTACTCAGACCAGGTTCAGGATGATCTTCCCAGGACCTTGTGGGAACCGAGGGACCTGGCCTCCCAGATCCAGTGACCAAGAGAAAAATTAACCCTCTTCACAAAGAGACCCTGTTTGCTTTTTGAGGCCATTCGCCTCTTGTGTTCAGTAAAAGTGACTGTAACGACATTTGCTATGTCAAGGGCAATGGCGCTTTTCTCCTGGGGAACGAGAAACTCTGACAAGTAAACTTATTCAAGATGGAGAAAATTAGATGACATCCATACCATGTCTCTTAATCCTCACTTCACAGATATAAAAAGAGAGGCACAGAGAGGTTAAATAAATTTCTAATCACGACTTTCTAAAATATCCTGGAAGTGAGTTAGTGCCAAAATTCTTTGGTCAAGAAAATTCTTCTTTGGGGGCCTGGACAACATGGTGAAACCCTCTATCTGCAAAAAATACAAAAATTAGCCAAGTGTGTTGGCACAGGCCTGTAGCCTCAGCTACTGGGGAGGCTGAGGTGGGAGGATTGCTTGGACCTGGGAGGTCAAGGCTGCAGTGAGCTAGGATTGCAGCACTGCATTCCAGCCTGGGAGACAGAGTGAGACCTTGTCCTAAAAAACCAAAACAAAACAAACAAAACAAAACAAAAACAGAAAGGAAAGAAAATTCGACTTTGGGCCTTGGAGTGGATGTGGAGGTCATGGATTTACAAAACCTCCCTCTCTCGCTTTTTGTTTAAAAGTGTAACTGCTCGAAGACAGAATCTGATTTTAACTCAGACTAAAATGTCTTCATAACAACAAGGAAACAGTGAAGTAGGATCACATAGAAAGTTCCTCGCTAACTGCCTGTGTGAAGGCAGCGGGCCTTAAGCCTCACGCATGTGCTCAAATCCCCTTCAGGGCTTGTGGAATTAGACTGCGGAGTCCCATCCTCACACTTTCTGAGCTTATCAGTGTCAGGTGGGGATCCTTAGTTTGTATTGCTTTCTTTTTTGAGATGGAGTCTTGCTCTGTTGTCCAGGCTGGAGTGCAGTGGCATGATCTTGGCTCACTGCAGCCTCAACTTCCTGGGCTCAGGCATCCAGAGTAGCTGGGTCTATATAGGCACACCACCATGGCTGGCTAATTTTTGTATTTTGTGTGTGTGTAGAGATGAGGTCTCGTTATGGTACCTAGGCTGGTCTCCAACTCCTGCAGTCCTGCCGCCTGGACCTCCCAAAGTGTTGGGTTACAGGTGTGAGCCCCCTAGCCTGGCCATTAATTTATTTTTTATTTATTTTTTTTTTTGAGACAGGGTCCCACTCTGTCACCCAGGCTGGAGTGCAGTGGCACGATCTTGGCTCACTGCAACCTCTGCCTCCCGAGTTCAAGTGATTCTCCTGCCTCAGCCTCCCTAGTAGCTGGGATTACAGGCACATGCCACCACACCCAGCTAATTTTGTATATTTAGTAGACACGGGGTTTTGCCATGTTGGCCAGCCTGGTCTCATTGATCTCAGGTGATCCACCCTCCTTGGCCCCCGAAGTGCCAGGATTACACGTGTGAGCCGCCGCGCCTGGCCTTAGTTTGCATTTCTAACACATTTCCAGGTGATGAGGACGCTGCGGGTCCAACGACCACACTAACACTGCTGTAAAAGACACCATGCTCTACTGACAAGCCGCTCTCTCCCTGCAGGACTGAAGGATGCATGCCCTCTCCTGGAATCAGTCTCAGCTACCACCTTGCCCAAGGTTGCCACCCTCTCACCAAGGGGGTCACTTGGATGTAATGATTGGTTAATGCTGGGGGGTAAGGCTTGGCCTGCAGCCTCAACAGCTATGGTGATGGCTCTGTGGGTCGTTCTAGCTTCAGAGCTTCGTCCAGGTTGAGGGTCACCATGCTGGGACTGCACCACAGCTCAGCTTCTCTCTCTGCCGGGTTCTGCTTCCTTTATTTTCCCATTTGTTGTTAGTCCCAGAGCACACCCAGTAACTTCCTGCCTGCTAGTCCATCTTAGACTGCTTCCCAGGGAATGGTACGTACAACACTCAGGAGTAGAGAGTCACTGAAACAAACCTAGCTCTGAGAGACCCCTCCTGATCATCCATCACCCTTCCCGCTCTTCCTTACTCTGAGCTACTGTCTTCATAGAATTCAACTCTCGGGTCTATGGCCATACCACCCTGAATGTGCCTCATTTTGTCTGATCTCAGAAGCTAAGCATGGTTGGGCCTGGTTAGTACTTGGATGGGAAAATTTAGTGCTCGAACACTGTGTTGTAGATTTCTTTAACAAATACATTTGACCGCCTTCCCCACTAGACTGTCAGCTCTCTGCATGAGGGCTCTAGTCTCTCTTGTTCACTCTCTGTAGTATCTGCAAAGCCAAGGGCAGGGCCTGGTACCCAATAGGCCCTTGGACAACACCTACTGAACAACTGAATGAAGGTCCAGGCAGGAAGAGTGACACATCCTCACCAACAAGTCCTAGAGTTTCAGAAAACTAGGAAGTCGAGGAATAGGGAAGATGCTTTCAAAAGTGTTATCTGTAATTGGAAATGCTTTAAAGTTGGTTTAGTGCCATTTTATTGGAGAGGATTTCATATTCAACAACCTGTACTGAAGTTCTAAGTGCCAGCTCAGTGCTTTCAGGTGATCACCATTCTTTTTTTTTTTTTTTTTTTTGAGACGAAGTTTCACTCTTGTTGCTCAGGCTGGAGTGCAATGGCAAAATCTGGGCTCACTGCAACCTTCACCTCCCAGAGGAGTGATTCCTCAGCCTCCCGAGTAGATGGGATTGCGGAAATGCACCACCACACCTGGCTAATTTTGTGTTTTTAGCAGAGGCAGGATTTCACCATGTTGGTCAGGCTGGTCTCCATCTCCTGACCTAAGGTGATCCGCCCGCCACTGCTCCTGGCCTGTTTTTTTTTTTGTTTTTTTTTTTGAGATGGAGCCTTGCTCTGTCACCCAGGCTGGAGTGCAGTGGCATGATCTTGGCTCACTGCAACCTCTGCTTCCCAGGTTCAAGCAAGCCTTGTGTCTCAGTCTCCTGGGTAGCTGGGACTGCAGGTGAGCAACACCACAACTGGCTAATTTTTATTTTTAGTAGAGGTGGAGTTTGGGATTTTTCCAAATGGAGATGATTCAGTCACATCTGATATTGGTGGCTGGAGAAGGGTGACGTCTAGGACTGATGCTTTGACAGGAGGACCTCAATTTTCTTAGAATAGGATTCCTTTTTCTTGGAGAGTGATTTTTAAGTAGCAGATTCTGGAACTTCCTGTGCCCTCCACCTTCTACTCCCAAATCCCCACCCCTTCTCCAAAGCAGGCCAGCCTCTCTAGATGCCCAAGGCCAGGACCTACCACCCACAGTCATCGAAAGCTTCCAGGTCCACTCAGCGCTGCACTGCGATCTCAAAGGCTGAAGGACCGATAAGATATGCGGAGAAGGCCCTTTGGTGCTAGCCTGTGAATGAGGAGGGGAGGGCTGCCAAATGCTAAGAATGCCGAGTGCATCAACTGAAGTGTTTCCCCAAGCTGTGCACAGGGTGTGGTTTCCAAGCAGAATGCAGATGCAGGAATGAGGGAGGCACCCACCCAGGCTGGCCAAGTCAGAGACCCAGCAAGCAGAAAGCGAGCCAGGCAGATGCCGACAGAAGAGGAAGGTAAGTCTGACGCACTCAGCAGAATGTCCACTGCACTGCATAATTTAGCGGGGTGAATTCGCGCCAAATTAATGGAATATTTCCTGTAAATATTATTTTCCCTTCCTGTCTCTTCATCTCATTTCATTCAAAAATCTTTACCAATCCGGGGGAGTGAAAGTAATGCATCAACTCCCAGAGCCAAAGCCCCTGCTTCTGAAATACCCTTGGGAATCACAGGAAGCCACCATGGCTGCCTGGGGACAGGGGGCAGGCCATTTACTCTGGTTCCTTCTCCTAATGCCTCAGAGGGGACCCCACAGTGCTCCTAATTGTGCATCTAAGTGTACATAAAAGCCCCCCTAATTGCACATCAAATAAATAAGTAAATGCCGTCTGCTGAATATGTAACAAGGACTGACGTTGCTATTCCTTCCCATGGGGGAGAGTTCATTAAATCTGGGCTGGGAAGCAGGCTGCATTTCTTAGTGATGATTTACAGATATTGAATATTCTTTGCAAGGGAGGGTTTTCTGGAGTCAAGTGCTTTGCAACATTTGCTCTCTAACGCTTATAGCCTCAGATACAGCCTGCCCGGGACTCTCTAAGTCTTAGAGTCCATTTGGAAAGTCTTTTCTGTATTGGCTTCTGATGATCAGATGGCTGTTTGTCTGCAGGTCTGAGGACCGCGGGACCGGCTGGTATCCCCATGCCTCAGTTACTGACACTGCAAACAAGGGCAGATCATCCCAGAGATTAGAGCGCTGAGGCTTTCTCGGGCTTCAATCTAAGGAATGTAAAGACCCCTCCCCTAAAGAGGCAGCTGGATGTGAGACAGATTTTGTCCAGATTTACTTATTTTTTCCCTGTGGGACCCTGATTCTGTGAGATTTAATAAACGATGCCTCGTCAATAGATAGTATTTCATTCTCATTCAAATGTTCTCAGGGAAGAAAGAGGTAAAACTTGCCTGTACCAGCAACACCTCCCAAAACCCACGGGCTGCCCAGTCTGAGGCATGTCGCTGTTGACCGTCATTTCACACAGCTGGCAGGTTTTTCTTTTTTGATGGCCTAGGTCTCTTTACTCGACCATAAATGCGAACTAAGATGAAACCTGGGATTTACCTCCAGTGCCTAAATGCCAACCTGACACTGTCTCATTGTCTCCTGAGGCCAATAAGTTTCTAATTCGTGAAATACAGAGCCTCTGGCTTCAGCACTGCTTCTTTTTTCCTTTTTGAGACAGAGTCTCGCTCTGTCGCCAGGCAGGAGTGCAGTCAGTTGTGTGATCTCGGGTCACTGCAACCTCTGCCTCCCAGGTTCAAGTGATTCTCCTGTCTCAGCCTCCTGAATAGCTGCGATTACAGGCATCCGCCACCACGTCCAGCTAATTTTTGCATTTTTAGTAGAGACGGGGTTTCCCCATGTTGGCCAGGATGGTCTCAATCTCCTGACCTTGTGATCTGCCCGCCTCGGCCTCCCAAAGTGCTGGGATTATAGGCGTGAGCCACCGCGCCTGGCCAGCAGTGATTCTTTCTATTCCCCCCCAACACGCACACGCTAAAATGGAATTTGGTAACTAGGATAAAATAGGGAGGAACAATTGCTGCAAGATTTGTTTGTTTTGCTAACAT